CGGATGACTCATAACTTGGCCCTTCTTCGTGATAATTCCATGGGCCCTCAAAAACGCGTAATTATTCCGGTCTTGAGATCAAACAAATGATATTATGGAATTAAAACACAAATTTAGCCACACCATGGCGTGGAAACCCCCAAACCTCATGGTCGTCACGAGGATTGGACTTCTGACCACCCCGGGGTGGAAAAGTGAAACGTTCTCTCTCGCTACTTTTTACTCACGGGTCGCCTTCCTATGTCACGGGAGGTTAGTTGTTTTGATGGCAGCATCGTGTCCTAACCAACATCCCCACATGTTCGTTACACCTTTCAAAACCAGAAAAGACCTCGAATATATTTCTATTTTAAATATAGTTTTCAGCTCGAAGAAAAAATCTGTAAAAATTAAGTCACACACCTAATAGTTTGGATTTTTCTGACCTTTTGTTTTGACCGCTATTTATTTTCGTCCCTTCTAACCATTACGCCTGATCCGTGCGAGCCCTACTGTTGATTCTTGTATATTTTCGGCCCTAATATAATCTCTCCCATATAAAATCCTTCATGAGGACTCCATCCATCCGACACTATTGATCATCTACGGTCGGATATTGACGAACTTTGATATGTTATGTCATCTCTATGACATTCTTTGATATATGCTCGATCATCTCATCAGCCACTTGATACAATTTTGACAAATTTTTGACAAATTCGACATATTTTAAGAAAAATTACCTATCCCGACATCGAACTATTCTATGAGGGCGAGAATGAATCGAAATTAATGATTTCCAGTCACATAACGAAATGTTCTCGAAGCTGCTACCACCCACTCGATTCGCCTTGAGAATTTGGATATTGTCAGAGCAATTAAAACTGAACATAATTGAACCCAAAACAAATGTATTCATATTAAAAATAATGCAAAACATGTAATTGCAAATTGTATTATCGATTATTTTGTAATGTAACAATTGTAAGTGTAAAAGTGTTTCCATGGGAAACACATTTTTAAATAATAGGGGAGGTGTTGTATAGACAACTAGTTATGTTCGGGGTCCCTAGACAGGTTGCCATGTTTCTCAGATTTTGGTGGAATTTTAAATATAGAATAATTATTTAGGAAAATTTGTTGAGATTAAATTAATAGAGAATCATGTATTTTCACGTCGTTTAAATTGTCGAGAGGTTCAACGTATTCGTGATGTTTTTCATGAGGGAATTTCCCCACAGTTGCATTTTTTTGCCACGTGTTCTTTTTTCCCGAGTAAATTGTCGCTTCCCCAAGACTTTAAAGTGTTATAAAACCTTTCAGGCTTTTATAAATACTCTCTTGCTCTCTTTTACGGTTTTAATCCTGTTCAGAGCGCGTTATGAACTCTTGGAAATTCGTTCATTTCCCCAGGACGGTTAAAGTGATATAATTTCTATTCGTTTTGAGACCGTCCCCGTTTTCGGAAGATTTTTGCTTTTCGCTTGGTTTATGACTGAGTTGCGACGTCTTAATACCTGGACTTGAAATTTCCCCTTCGATGGACGTGCAATATACCCTCTCTCGGTACCCTTATCAACCTCCGCCCTCAAGATGAATTTTCGGATTTCTTGCAAGATGATTTGTTGAACCCACTTTTTCCTAAAAATTGATGAACGACTCATGAATAGTTGAACGAGCTGAGAAGTAGAAGAAAAAGTGAAATTGTAATGACTCCTATCCCATGTTTAGAGTCGTATATATCTCACGGTAAAATTGAAAGTTGAGAAGTAACAAAATTGTACAACTTTTAAAGAATTTTGACTGGGAAAATAATGTGAGATCGAGTTGTGAATTATTGATAAACGAAATACAAGGAACTATTTGTATGACATGAATTTGTGTGGAACTTTTATTTAAAATTTCCCGCACTTACAGAGTAGAGTGGTTCAGCACTCCACAGGCAACTTACCCGCCCTCTCTCAACAAAAATATACCTTGCGGCCCTGCGGCTTGCGGCCGCGGCGACGGTTTAGGGCTACTCTACAATCTCTATTGTAGAGAGGTATCCGGTTCCCTGGGAACGAAACGGCAACGGGCGACTGGATATCTCTCTATTTTTGTAAAAAAAAACTGCGCCAAGAAAAAGTTTTGTTGGGTTTTTACTGAAAAGTAGACATTTTTGAAAAATACAAATAAATGAAAAATAAAGCCAAGTGAGGAATGTCAAATAAATGAGTATAGTACACGATCGGATTTCTAAAAGAACAATAGTTCTCAATAGAAAATGGATTTTAAAAAAATTCTTCATAAAATAAAAAATCAGCAGAAGTACCAACATCCTTGGCGCGGATCAGCAGATAGAGGACTAGATTGATATAGACAGTGAGTAGAAAAAATCCACACTAAGAACGTTGCTCCTGCTCTTACTGATTTTTTATTTTATGGAGAATTTTTTGAAAATGCTTTTTCGATTGAGAACTAAAAACAAATTTTTTTCTCGTATATCCTTTCGGGTCTATACGATTTGTTCCCTTCTCACCCCTCAATCCCTGTACCGGATTCGCCGAAGGATAAATGTTTGTTTTTTAGGGGGAGTTCACTAATTTTTTGAAAATAAGCACGGAATTATTTTCATATCAGAAAGTTGTTCTTTTCAATTGAACTCATGCATTTTTTTTTCAAGGTAGAACATCCTTTCAATTGATAATTGAAGAGAAACAAACAGTTCTATCACAGATTCATTGTTTCTACCAACTATTGATTATTTATTCAAGATTTTCAGAGTTAGTTTCTTTCTTCCATTCCATTTTTTCTTGGATTTTCTACGTGGATTTTTGGGTGAGATCGATGGAATTCCTGTCAAGAATAACCGAACAAAATATTCACGTGATAGATATTTTTATAAAACGTTTATTTTTTATTTTGAAGATATTAGTAATTTTTTGAAATGATTAATAAGGTGTTTCCTTGTTCCTCGTATCTTGCCGTAACCTAATTCAAAGCATTGTCCCCCATGAAACTGAAAACATTTTCTGTTATCATTCGAAGAAAAATACATATTTTGTTTTTAAATTTAACTCTCTACGTACATTTAATAGTTTATCGCACAATTTTTGACAAATAACAGTTCTATCAGATTCCAAATATAAATCATAACCTCACAAATTATCTTCATCTCCGAGGTCCATATCTAGATATGACGAGAAGAATTTCGAAGTTTCGACGGAAGAAAAAAATAGAACAATGAATGATTTTTTTGTTCCACTCCAATATTCAATTCAATTCAAAATGGGAAAAAAACGTGATCCGTGGTTTTTCATAACAATACATCATCACAATCCACGTTTAAACGCACTGGTGGCAACACTTCGAAGTTGGATGTGAGGCTCAGTTGGACTCTCAGTTGGATTCTGACACTTTATTATCTAAATCGCGAGAATGTGAATATCAGCCCGTTGCTATACGCGTATCTTTTCAACTGTTAATCCAAAAAATATAATAGTTACACCGCTGCAAAGCTCATAGGCGTTTTATATAACTCAGGAAAATTTTCCGATGTCTTGTCCCGTTTTTATTATATCGAATATCAATCATTTGGTGGTAGTGGAGGGGAAAGTTCTGTCGTATATAGGTACCCGATGCGCTCGGCCTGATATTTTGTACAGTCGGAGTCAAAACTTTACTTGGCCGATACGCTACCGCGTATCTCAAAGTATAGATACATGGTATGCTCGGCCTGATATTTTGCACAGTCGGAGTTAAAACTTTTCTTGGTCGATAAGCTACCGCGTATCTCGATTGTAGAGTAGCCCTTAGCAAAAGAAAAGAAAGGCCCTGCAGATACTATACTGACGTAACTGCGTAGACTCCATTTGATGTTGCCATCTATCTTCCTCCATTACAACTCAGCACAACGCGCCGAAACCAGCTGTGATCATTGGCTTACCCTAACTCTTATTCATTTAAAAGTGCTTAAATAATTTTTCTTTTCATTTTTCCTGGAGTCACCATACCATGAACTAACTCCACGCAAAATACATAAATGCAATTACAAAAGAGCCTGCATATGTAGAGGTAATATATGGAAGGAGGGCTTCATATAGGAGAAACGAGACAAGAGTCGAGACCCTTATATTTTCTGACCCTTATATTTTTTTTTTGCAAAATACAATCAGAGTCAGAAAAAATAAGGGTTGAAAAATATTTGGGTCAGAAAGATAAGGGTCGGAAAAATATAAAGGTCTCGTCTGTCATCTTGTTTCTCTCATCTATCGCGGCACCACCCCCATATGGAACAAGGATCCCCCCCCCCTAAACATCCCCAATACAAAAACGACTGCTCATCAATAAACCCCTTCGCCCCTTCCACTAAATCTTGCTCAAAACCCCCCGCTTTACAAACCCGCGCCCCACAAAGAAATTTTAAAAATTTCCAAAATTTTGGAAAAATTTCATTATATAAAATGAAGGATACTTTGGTTTAGAATTAATGTCAATTTGAATCAACTTTGAACGATATTTTTCCAAAACTTCGAAAAAAGTTACTCGATTTTAGAAACCGTGGTTTCTCACCTTCACTTTCATAAAATCTAGAAACTTTTTTCTAAAGCTGATTTACTTTTTTCTCTCTGTGTCTGAATTGTTTTTCCCATTTCTACTCATTAGTTAAACATTATGAAAGTATTGACGACCACCTAGGGCGAAATACATCCGTCATTTCAACATTAAATATATCACCGATCAAAAATCTCATCTGAGATGATGTAAACAATATCTAATTTCCTTCATTACAAAGAAAAAGTTTTTTCCCCAAGGATTTCTCATTCCTTCGACAATCACATGATTATAAAATGTATCTATATGTATGTATGTATATTTGACTTGGTTTGCCTTACAACTCCACTGATGGATGAATGGAAGATTATAGGATCAATCTACTGAATGACACTTCAGTTTTTATCATGAGACGTTTACATTTCAATATCTATTCTTAAATAATTATTTCCCTACATTTTTATTAATACATTAAATCTCAACAGGAAAGCATGAAACATAAATACGAAAAGGAGAAGAATCTGGGTAATATGGGAGATAATCCATCAAATAGCACACAATGCAATAATATCTCTCATATGCGCAACCTGACCAGTATCGCCAGAAAAAATCCTCAGAATGTCAATGGAGAGAGCACCACTACAACTGACATAAACTCGGATTCAATAGCAGTCGCTTTGTCAACGACACCACCTGATACCGTAGTGTCGTCCCCCAACACGAGAAACTCATCTCCGAGTCACAGAGCGAAGAGTCCTAATAACGTAAATGGACTAATAAAAAAGAGTGCACTTAAAGCAGCGCTGAGTCTCGATCCAAGTACACTCTATCGTGGGACAATTCCGTACGAGAAAATTGCATTTTCATCGCCACCATCCGTCAATAATGAAACTGTGGAAATGAGAAAGGTAATTCGTATGATAGATTTGATGACGATTACTGAAAACGAAAAATAAAATCTGATTTCGAAATTTTTTGAAAAATAGATAATTTCAAGAACTTCGGGGAAATTAATCGAGAATTTCCTCCCTCCTCGGTTTGCCCAATAAAAGTGTGCACACTATGCGAAGTCACCTGACATTTTCACATAAGTTTTATTTTGACAATTTCCTCAATTCTGATTTTGACCAATCAGAGTGCAGTATTCGGGATCACGTGACGCATTTCACACTGATAATTTCCCCGGCTGTAGGGAAATTATCACACTGATAGTTTCGCTGTCAACTGTTTTCTACAAATTTGACAGATTTTCTTCACATTTTGGTGAAATGTGTCCCGTAACCCCGAACACCGCACCTTGATCGGCCAAAATCAGAGTTGAAGAAATTGTCCTCCGAATACCTCTCGACCTTCCAAATCCATTAGATATTTCCCGAATGTTTCGTGGCATATCAACGATCGAGATCAATTTTGGAGTAAAATCCTAAGCGCTGTGCGCAAAACAAAATCTACTTAATCTGCAAAACTGATCCCTCTCGTTGTTATGCCACGAAACATTCGGGAAATATTCGATAATTTTGAAAGTCTTGGCATACTACAGTTGATAATGAACTGGGCTACGGGTGAATTATCAAACTGCTAATTCCCCAGTAGACTATCAATTGTTTTCCCTTCTTTTGACAGATCCACAGATATTTTCCACATTTTGGTAAAAAGTGGCACGTAATCTCGAACACCGCACTTTGTTCGGCTAAAATAAGAATTGACAAAATTGTCCTCCGAATACTCCTCGACCTTCATACTTCGTCGGACATTTTCCTCAAGTTTCTTTGCATATCAGCGATCGGGGTGAGTTTTACAGAAAAATCACTCGCGCTTTGCGCTGGTGATTTTTATCCTGTAAAAATCATCACTCTACCGAACATAGTTTGAAATTTTGGGGATTGAGAAAACAAAGTCGAGCATTTCCACGTCAAATCTGAAATTAAACAAATGCAATATTTCCGATTGTACCGCCGATTTTTTTTTAGAAGCAGTACATGACACCAAGTTTTCATTATTTTTTTAAAGTGATTCGATTTTTTTTCAGTGAGTTATGATTTTCAAAAAAATTCACTTTTTCCACTTGAAATTTGATTGTTTGAGAAAAAGGTGATATAATTGAATTTATTCATTAGGAATCGAATTTTTGTTTTGATACATTGGAGGGTAATTGAGAAAGCTTCCAAATGAGTGCAATTAAACTCAATTTATTCAATTTACAGAGCCGTTATGGCGAAAGCAATTTTTTTTATCTGCAATTACTCGAAAACTTTTTTTTTATGCGAAGTTTTCGGGGTAACTTGGGGACATAACTACGGATATTTTCACCGTATAATAATTATAATAATAATTATTTTGCTGTGGTTCTTAATTAAGCCAGTGATTTTTTTTCGAAAAATTCGTTTCCGGGAACAATGCGTAAATGACAAAGAGAAAAATGTTATGATTAGTAATAGTTGAAAAAATGATTTATTTCAAGCCATATTCCACTTCGAAACATAAAACTATCCACCTGAACGTAACAGTGATATATAGTTATATGTTAACCCATTGCTTCGCGTAAGTTCGCATCGGTTCGATGTGAGAGGAGTGGGGGTCCGTCCGAGTATTAGTGCGCCATAAGAGAAGCACGCACACTTCTACAAAACGGCAAAAAGTGGGATACCGCGAGACGAAGCAAAGGGTGAAGAATACTAACTTATTCAATAATAAATGAATTTACAGCGGATTGCATTTTCTAATCGTATTGGAATTGTGAAAGTGTTGGTTTTTTACTTTTTCAATGTTGTCGCCTCACATAAAATGTTGAAACAACTTGTGAAGACAATTTTTTCCTCTACAGGAAATTCATAGAAACACCCAGACGTACATGGCAACATCAAAATGGCTTCGAATGAAGTGGAACACAAACCTCTACCGACTACCATTCCCACACTGAGGAAAAAAAAGACTTTTTTTCCTTACTGTTGAAATGATATTCGGTAGAGACTTGAGTTCCATTCCATTCGAAGCCATGTTGATGTTGTCATGTGGACCTGCGTCTTCACATGAATTCCCTGTTGAGGAAAAAATTATCTCCATAAGTTGTTTCAACATTTTATGTGAGGCGACAACATTAAAAACGTCAAATACCTACACTTTCACAATTCCAAAACGATTAGAAAATGCAATCCGTCTTAGATTCATTGATTATCAAATAAGTCAGGATTCTTAAGTGTCCGCTCCCTCACCGTAACGATCAAGTGAATAGTTATATGTTCTAAAGTAGAATATGGCTTGAAATAAGTCACTTTTTCAACTGTTACTAATCATGAAATTTTTTTTCTTTGTCATTCACGCATTTTTTCCGGAAACGAATTCTTCGAAAAAATCACTTGTTTAACAAAGAATGATTGCAAAATAATTATTGTCCTTTGGTGAAAACATCGGTTATTATGTCCCCAAGTTACTCCTAAGCCTTCAGATAAAAAATGTAAAGTTTTCGAGCAATTGAAAATTAAAAAAAAATGATTTTCCCATAACAACAGTAAAAATGAAATAAATTGAGTTCCACTGCGCTTTTCCAATTACCTTCCAACGTGTGAACACGAAAATTCGATTCTTCATGATTAATTCCAATTATTTTGCTTTTTTCTCAAGCAATTCAAATTCAAGTGAAAAAAGTAAAATTTTTTGAAAAATCATAACCCGCGAAATAAAAACGTATCGCTCTCCAAATTTGATGAGATCTTGGTCGCATATACTCCTGTTAAAAGGAATCGACAAGACAATCGAAAACATAACATTCTTTTAATCTCGGATTTGACGTGGAATTGCTGTATCAAGACCTTAATATTCGGCTGTAAAATTTTCTACGGGGATGATTTCCTGAAATTTCTCCGTGAAAACACTTAATACTAATTCAATATTATAATCAACAAAGATGAGTTTTAAAAAATCGGATACAAATTTTTTTGAAGACGAGATATTTGAGTAAAAAATGTTCTGTGCTGAATTGCTCAAAATCTGTTCCTTTGAAGGATGAAGCTATTTGGTAAAACATCTGCATATTCTTCCCGCAGTCATGCAAAATATCATAAAAAAATACTTAGCGAATACTTCAGCAACGAGTAACGTGCTTAACGCTCGGTTGTTCCCGTCAAAATTACGAACGCTGTTTCGTGACCCTGGCATTGCGTAACAGAAATTTTTATCACAAAATGCCACCATAACCTTGGAAGTATCGTTAGTCAAATTCTGTAAGAATTTTGACTACCAACATTGTTGTTGATTATCCAGTCGAGTTCGAAGTGAGGTAACGGATATAATGGTTAATTATTTCGGGGTTTTGACCTCGTGGTTATCCAGCCAGCATCAAATACTAGCCACAATCACTCGTGATGCGATGGCAAAGAGTAAGAAACAATGAAAAAACACAATTATTTCACTGTGCCCCACAATTCCTCGAAAGCCTCGCTGCAAACAAATGAAGGGTTCATGTTTTGCACACGATGCCTATGCAACACTCTGATTATTTCTGCCATTCTGATTACGGCTGATCAGAGTGCGGTGTTCGCGGTAATATGACCCATTTCACTAAAATGGGGGAAATACTTATTAAATTCATAGAAAACAATCAACAGCCCAAGTGGAAATTTCGATCAGGTCCGGGTCAGGATTTGATCACGTCAGCCCCACCGTCGGATCAGATTGTGATGATATGAATTGGTCCTGGTCAAATATGTAATTCCGTTTTAGGTCCAAATTTGATCATGTCCGGCAGACCCAAACCTGATCAAGCCCCATGGATCTAAACCGGCGAGTCGCGTCCAGTTTTATTATTGATGATCATTAATACAACATGATAATGAAATTTTCAGAAATCATTTTTACGATCATTGGGGGTGACCGTATTGATCACCCCGCAATGTATTTATCGTAGAAAAAGCCACTCTATTTATCACAAATTATTCCGCCCATGACTAATTTCGTACCCGCGATCCTAGAATCACTAAACCGACGACTAACCACTACCGAGTTCGTACTCAGCCCAGCCTCCCCTTTACATTCGACCTTTATCATTTCTAATCCTTAAGGTTTTTGAGGGTTCAAATAGTTGACCCTTGTGTTGATCTGACCTTTATGAAGTCTGACATTAAAGACATTTGACCCTTCATATATCTGACCTTCAAGACATATGAGCTTTGAAACATCTGATCCTTATATAGCCCGACGCTTCAAACAAGATAATTGAGTCTTCAAATGTGGGACACTTGAGGCACCTTAATCCTTTAAATGTTCGAGGCCTTCGACCCTTGACATGTCTGACTCTTAAGACTTTTAAGTCTTGGGACCTTTAAACATCTGACTTTTGTAACCTTTAAGACGCCTGAACCTTGCTACGTTTGAACCTCCGTCGTGCTTGGATTGAGATCAGGATTTATCCCAATCTGACATTGTTTATTTCAGGATGCCTTGCTGAAATTGACATCAAGGTGATAGAATTCGTATCTCACCAGATTCATCTCAGAATACTTTGCTCAAATTCAAATCAGGGCGACTAAATCCGGATCTGATCAAAGTGATTTCAGACTGTCTGAAATCAGGAACACTGGATCAGTTTCTCACCGCCTTTGGATCAGGTTCCGCCTGATCAGTTGAACCTGACTATAGACGGATTCATTTCTGATCCGACTTCTGCTGGTCTGTGCGGAATTTCCACTCGGGAGGCTACAGGGAAATTAGTGGTTTGATAATTTTCTTCATCCCGGTGCGTAACACCAGGGAAGTGTAAAGTGTAAAGTGACATTTCATAGACAAAAAATATCGCTCAACAGTCGCGGGAATCGTAAGTGGTCTTTGACCCATGGAGATGGGACACCACCCACATATCAACAACGAATTGTCCATGCCCGTATCGAAATATAATTATTCTCTCGAGTGTCAACATTACAGAATGGTTATCATACAAATCACAATTTTTTGCCAGCCGAGTAACATACATAGTTTTCTTCAGACTGTCAGTGAGATGAAATAGCTATGAGTCAGAAAAGTTTTTTCGACCGAGTTACGAACATAATTTTTCTGTACTGCTTCTCACGATTTCTCGTCTGGAAATTGGTAGTACATACTTTCCAAACTCGAAAACTTGAAAATCACTACAGAAAAATATTGTTCCTGGTCTGTTTCGATGGGGTTTTTTTACTCGTGTGGTTGGTCAACGCCACATGAGTAAAAAACCCCATCGCAACAGGCCGGAAAAATACTATTTCTTCACAATGTTCGCAAACGGCGTTTGATGGAAACGAAGTGTGATAGTGTGATGGAAATGATATTCTGAGTTTGTCATTTAAAACCCGGGATTTTTTAAATGTTTCTTTTGAAAAATCGATTACAATTACGAAGATAATTGTAATGTTAGATATCTCAAATTTTGGCTCAAGTTGCCCTAACCAGTTTTGATATAAAAATATAAAGACGATGAAATTTTTCAAATTAAATTATTCCAATGCTTCTACTTCCCCAAAATTTTTTATTAAGGCATTCCTTTATCATTGGGCTGTATTTTTCACCTACAAATTGTAAATTTACAAAAAAAATCGTAACCCATCGAATACAATACATCTTTGCACTCAACAAACATATAGATTTTTTACACAAGCACAATTTTCTTTTACACAGAAAGTTCTGCCCATAGTAGACCCATACACAGCTGTTTTTCACATCTTTGCATTCACTAATTCCAATTCCTCCTTCACATAAATCAATTACCCACTTTCGATTGTTCGAAAAATTCCATACAATTGTTATTTATATAAAATGAATTGCGTGAGATGTACAAATTTTATACTGAAATTTTTTACACATATGTTGGTGGAGTTTTTATGTGTGCACTTCAATTCCATACATACGGAGCTGGTGTTACATCTGTACAATTCAGTTCTATACATGTGCAAGTCGTCGTTACGTGTGTGTAAGTCAATTTTATATTGTCAACATTTGAAAGAACTCGAATTATGTACTTTTGTGACCTATTAATGCAGTTTTTTTTTCAAATTCTGAGGCCTGGAGAATGAAAAATATAAGTCAATATTTTTTTTTCTTTTTTATATCAATGGTAGTAGAAATCATGAGTGTAAAGAGCCTCCCAAGTATTATGCCAACATTTTGATGTGAATCAAGTTCCCTTTTGTAGAACCCATGGGCGTTGGGAAAGTCCTCTCGATTTAATCAACCGGACTGTGGTCATGCGGTTCGAGCAGGGGATTCAGTATAAAGGCAGATGTTTTAAATTTCTAAGTCACACGTTCTTATCGTCCGAGCAGGAGTCTCGTAAAGATGGCTATACAGGTGACGTTTTCTAGGGTTTTCCTCAGTCTCGCCGCAATTGCGGTACAGTAGGGAAAAAGACATGCTTTGTAATGGCCATTAGTAGAACAATCTACTAATTATATTATTCAGTAAAAAGCAAATGAAGTTAATTCCAATCAGATGAATATTTTTTAAAATTATTCTCTCGTCAACAAATTGGTTTGTTCATCCTATTTCAGAAAGTCCCAAATGACACGTTCTTTTTCGCTTCGTTCGGCTACATCGTGATTCTCGGAATTTGAAAAAACTATATCAATATGTAAAAACAGTGCATAATTCGATTTATTCAAACTTATACAAATAAAATCGACCTTCACCCGCATGAAATTGATTTACATACATGTAACGGTAATTTACAGAAGCATGGAATTGACCTGCACACATGGAAAAAGCGCCTGCACATGTATAGAAAAATTCAATACAAGTGTTGTACCTCTCACGAAAATAATTTTCTACAAATAACAAATGTGTGGACTTTTTCGCGTAATTTGAAAGTGTATAATCGATGAATGTGTAGTTGGAATTAGAATTAGTGAATCGAAAGATGTGAAACACAGTTCTGTGTAGTTCCCCCAATGCAGAACTTTTTGTGCAAAAATTAATTGTATTTGTGTAAAAAAATGTATGTCTATGTGTAGTATTCGATTTATACGATTTTTTTGTAAATCTGCAATGTGTAGGCGTGAAACACAGGCTATTTATTGGAGTATCCAATAAACAAAAAAATATATCAATAGAAAACTATATCCGAAGAAAAAATTAGTTCAATGATTTCTATTTCCCTGAATAATTCTCAGGATTCCCTCGGCCATGAATTACCACGAGAGGAAGAATGCTCCTGCTGAAACTCATTCTCCGGGGACTGACGTGACTGTTCCCGCTTCTACAGGCCCAAAAGAACCCCAAAGAGGTCCAGCTCAATGCCATCAATAAGATTAAAATCGTATGACGAAAGGTGCAGCATCACATGGTACTCATCCGAAGAAACGCTCGTCTGATATTCACTGACTTGTTTCTATAATTATTTTTTTTACATAATGAGGCTGCAACACATAGCCCAATAGATAACGATTTGCTAATAGCCAAAAGAGTGATCTTTTTGTAACTGTAAAGTATTTAATATCAAACAAACTGAGTATGTGAGATTAAAAATCACGAGGAACGTAAATGAGTTCTACAAGAATATTATTGCTGGTTCATTATTAATTCAGTAGTTAAGTGATAAAGGACAGAAAATAATTCCATACGTTATTATTCTGCCAATTTTTTCTACCTAAAAGGTACTTTAATATTTTCCTTTGAATCTACTACATTGATGGGGAATTTCATTCCACATAATAAGTCACAATTATTCAACCCTCTGACTCGAAATGCGTATTAAGTCGTACCTAGCCCCCTGGAGTGAGTATGAACCAATCGTAGCGCGCTCAAACACGAAAGAAATACGAGCGCTCACGAGTTCGCTTCGGCTTTCACGGGATAGTGCCGAATTGCGGCAATGCTGCGAGTGTCTTGGAACCCCAATGTGTCTACCGTTTTCCGATTAAATTCTGAAACGTTTCAGTGGATCTAATGAGAAGTGATTAATTCTCCGTTCATTCGGTTGTTATCGAAGAATTCTCTTGATATATCTTAGATATTTTCTCAAGTGCTCATAGTTATTAAGTTAATTTGGTATGTCGAAAGAATCAACTTGTATTGCCAAACCCAACATATGCAATCACACGGTAATATTTTTTCTGTGATGAATTTGTTTCGTTTTTCAGCGGAATATGGCTGAAACGTTCAATAATCATGAAGCGAAAATAATCCCCAAAATTTTTTAATCGTCTTCACAGAAGTAGGTTTAAGCCACTTTAAAAAATATGAAAAAAGACCTCAACTCTTCAAGCATGAGAATTTTTTAAATGGATCCGTTTTCCATTTTTTTTTTCAAAATAATGTCCACTCGATGCAGTTCTGCATCGAGGGGAACTGAAAATTCAATATTGGGAAATTCGCAAAGCAATTATTTACCCAAGTTACTTGATTGTGTTCATTGTTCATTTTATATTTTTCAGTGTGATTAAGAAGAATATAAAAAAATTTTCTCGATAAAGAAATGTCTCATTTCGTGATCCCGCGGCGTTATTCCCTTTCAAGCCATTGAACGAACATACGGCCCTGAGCGCCACTCGCTTCGAGGGTCCCGCGCGCGCCCCACCACTTGCCACATTACCTGCGGCTGCCAAGTGGGGAGAACAAAATTCGAGTCAGAGGGTTAAATAGCGAAAAATAATAATTTACGAAGTTTTTTTGTTGAATATATATCTGATATTAGATTCACCTATTATTTTCCACCACTTCACAATGAAATTTGTTTACGTTTAGTCAATCAGACGACTATTAGTATTCATCGAACTGATAATGCCCTCAGTGTTAAGATAGAAAAAAACCGTACTCCCCAGCGAATCACTGATAAGAATATATAAATAGAAAAATGATGTGGCAAAACAGTATTTCATACGAAACTTGAAGCATAATAAGAGACATAGATGTACATCCTCGTATCTGTTGAATATGCGTGTAGATCCAAGTAAATGTAATATATGAATAAAACAAAAAAAAGCAAAAAACATTATCTACGCAAGTCGATGAAATATAACGTAGAAATCTTTGGCGTAAACACATTGTTATAAGAAATTTTAATTCTATTAAACTGTTGTTTGCCGAGTACGCCATATTATTAATTTATCAGCCTTTTAAAAGTGGAACATCGATGTATGAATAATAGATTATGAAACAGTTGTTGATTTCGACCGAAGCTTTAAGATGATAATATTCGCACCTGTTTCTTATTGAATAGAAACGGACGAAGTACAGTGATTAAATATTAATGTTAATCCCTTATAGCTGATTTGTCATCAACGATAAGAGAGTGATGACATGTATTTTCGAATGATGAGAATGATGAATGAAGGAGAAGTTTGTGCAAGATGCTCATATCGCAGTGCGAGGGAATTTGGTTTTTTAAAGAGGAACAGATCCATTTCAGTCACGATTTGAAAGCGATTCATTGTGCTAAGAGGTTCGTTGTGTTGTCGTAGCTGTACTGTTCGACACTTCAATTCTAATATTCGTTTCTTTCATCTTTTACAAGGTCTGTTGTCAGTCGAATTTGTAATTTCTGTTAAGGGGAGACATCGGTAAGTTTTAAATACCAGAGTTTATTGAAGTGAGAATCAGCATATGTTTCATCTATATTCCTTATACCTAAAAAATTCATTATTAGTACGAAAAAACTCATTTTTCATTGTCTATTAGCCGTGTAGAATCACATAATCAAAAATGTTCTAGAAAAACTCGTTTTTCCCCAAAACTTTCGAAAATATGTGCAGACTAACAATTTCAAGGCACTTTTTAAAAGATTTCACTTCTGAGTAGCGTGATTTCCGTTTTTTCAATGTAAAAAAATCCACTGAACGTGCGTAATAATTTGATATCAAAGTATCCGGACGTTCATACTGATTGAGATGTCAAATATCAAATAAGCAAGGGTTCAAGCCTATCCGACAAAAAGCACGTGATCGTTACTTTTTGCGTCATTAGTCTCTTTCTTTTTTTCACTTTTACCAATTCCATTGGTAGTAATTATACATCCTTGTGATCGGCTTACAACCGCAACCCCATGGTATAGCGTGCCTAACAGAAAAATATTCAATTTTCAATGAAATAGATTTTTACAAAAGATTAAATATCTCCGAAACTGCTCGGCCGGTTGCGCCCATCTAAAATACTAACCTTCAGTATTTTCAGAGCTATAATCATCCCAAGTTTCAACATGCTATCTTCATTTCTTCTCATATCAAGCCAAAATGTATTGAATCGATCAGTCCGAAATTGTATACACTAGTGTGTCTCACAAGTATTAACTGCTACCCAAAATTTTGAATTCTTTTTCCAACTTTTATGTGTATTGTGGAACATCAAATCAGCTCTGACGTGAAAAAAATAGAAAAACGCGAATATCTGTAAAACTTTGTATGAATGAGTATCCATATTTTCATGGGATTTGATAGAGGACATCAAGACGAGTATTTTGAAAGAAAAATTCAATCCGACCAATAGTTTAGGAGATCTTGAGCAAAACATTTTCACAAAAGTTAAATATCTCATAAACTACTCGTCCGATTTCACCCCTCCAAAACCCCAGCCTATAGTACCATCAGAGTTACAATCGTATCAAACTTCAGCTTTCAATTTCAATTTGTTCGAGCCTTATCGTACCTACATCAATTTGATAAAAAAAAAAGAAAAATGGCAATCACTACCAACTTATCCCCGGTTAAGTAAAACTATTATGATTTGATTTGATAGATATTATGATAAAGAATATTTTGGCGTCCCAAAATTCAATTCCGTTGCGTACTCTTTTAGGTATTGAGAAAAAAAGATTTTTGAGAAATTGCGGTATCTCAAAAACTACTCAGATATGATCCCAGACAATGCCAATTATTTCACCAAATTTCAGACTTTTAGGTTCGAGTTTACTCCTTTTTGCTTCTGAATGGAAGCTTTGAAAAGGAAATTTTTTTCGATTCTATAATTTTACTTGAACACGACTGAGAGTAATATGAAACATCGAGATATGATTTTTTTAGGAAACGTCTGTATGTATATGTATGAATTTGTTCAGAAATGTGTCAATAACACCAGAAGAGTAATTACAAAAAAAAACAGAAATTTTGGCTAATAGTTGATACCAATGAGATACAAATCTGAGCTAAATCTCAACCCGATCGGTTGAGTAGTTTCTGAGATATGGCGATTTCTCAAAAATCGTTATTTGCAAATATCTCGGGAATATCTCGTAATATCTTGCAATGTCTCGCAAGAAAAATTTACGTTAAATGATACATAAAAGAGTGTAAAATACTTGATGTAGTGTTAGACTTATTTTCTATGTAGTCTTTTTGTTCAGCTGCATTAATCTAGTTAATAATAACATTTGGGCACTCATGGTATAAATTCTTTTATTACATTAGCTTTCATCCTTAGATGGAAAAAAGAGGAGAAAGAAAACAGAAAAGCAAACTTGTTAATACATTGATGATAAAAGAAATGAATATAAATGAATGCAATCGTTGGGCATCTAATGTTCCTCATTATCGAATTGAGTGTTTAATCGGAGTACAATCAGTTATCATTGGAAGAAATCGTAGATTCCAGATGTAAGTGTAGGGCATCGGTTATGAACCTATAAAAATTTTCACAGAATGACGAATTAGATTCAAGAATGAGAAAAAAGTCTGTTTCAACGTTATAAATACCAACAAGTTTGAGGATTTGAGTGAGGTATTTGGTACGTAGGTCCATTAACATTGGACAGACGAAGATGAGATGAGACAAGGTGTCATTGTAAGAGCCCGTGCAGCAAGGACAGGCCGTGCGAGCGTCAAATCTGATACGAGAAGATTCATATCCTAATGAGCTGCTATGCACATTAGAGAGACGTACCTGAGCTAAAATTTTTTGACTGCATAGTTATGACGATTACGCAGATAGTTCACAATTTTGTCTTGGCTAGATCTGAGGATAGATCTGAAGCAAGAACTAGATAATTGGTACCTTTCAAAATCAGACTGTCTGAGCAGTTGCCGGTAGTTATTCATAATCCCATCTCTTCTTGAACTCCACTCAGCGTGATTAAAATTACCCCACAGATTAAGAGCTTGATATTGGGTTAGAAATTCTTTGAATTTCAAAAGCCAGTTGTTTCTAATGGATGCTAGTGGTGAATTCGAGAGCTCATAGAGCCTCACGATACAGGTTTTGGGTAGGTAGGAATCATTACATTTCAAAATACCAATAAACCAATTTACAGTCAGTTCCATCGCACGAGCTTGGAGCGGAAAGAGATCGAGTTCGAGGCGTATTGCCCAGCCAGGAGGACATTTGGGGAGTGAGAGTAATCTTTTAAAAAAATACATCTGAACAACTTCAATGTTGTTTAGAACTCGTAGTCCCCATGCTGGGAAGGCATATAAAGTTGTAGATAGGACTATACTATTAAAAAGGGCGAGAATTGAATCCCATAAGTCAGATCAAGATCTGTAGATAATAGAGAGAACCGAGGAAGAGGCGATCTTGGACTTACCAACAACTGAGAGTAGCGACGAGTTTGAATGGGCTGTTGAATGAATTGTAACACCTAAGTAATTAAAGGACTTTACAATATCCAGAGTTTGTCCATAGACTTTAAACGACATTTCCTTAAGCCTCCTAGGGTTGCCTCTTTCTTTGAAGATTAAAACCTTTGTTTTACTCGTGTTGATTTCAAGACCTTTTTGGGCATAGTATTCTTCAAGAGCTACTAGAAGTTTTGAAAATTGAGGTCTATTTCTTGAAAGGAGCACAGTATCATTGGCAAATAGGACCAGAAGCAAATCATTTACACCATCAATATTGGGAGCCTCGAAGCCACTGTTTCTTAGGAAGGACTCGAACTCTGAAATATAGAGTATAAAGAGTAAGACACTTAGGGATTCTCCCTGTAGTACTCCTTCAGAAACTTCAAACTCATCAGAGAGCCCAGCACTGCATCTCACCCGTACACGGGCCTGGTGGTATATGGCTTTGATAATTCTGACGACTTTTGAGCTGACTCCTATCCCCAATAACATAGACCAAAGTTTGTCATGGGGAATGGAGTCAAAGGCTCTTGTCGAAGTCCATGAAAATACCACATACCTCAGAGTTCTTTATTCTCATTTGTTGTTGGATAGTCGATATAAGTGTGAAGATGGCGTCCGTGCAGCTTCTCCTAGAACGCATACCAAATTGAGATTCCGGCAATTTTGGGTTTGCCTCAGCCCATCGCTCAAGTCTGGCTTTGATGATTGAAGTGAATATTTTTGTAGTACAATTGACGAGAGCCGGGTCCGATTTGTCACCTTTTTTGTGTATCATTGACAAAACTACTTTTGACGAATCATTGGGACGGTTTTTGTAGTGAATAAGGTCCCTCGCCCCGTAAAAATTCTAGACCCAGACAATCCGTATGAAATTTTTAAATTGCAAATGTCTAGAGGATAAGAATTAATTCAAACACTCATTTCACGATTTAAAATCTGCCTATAACATCACTACGAGGTCATGAAGTCACACAGTTTCGATATTGGCACACAAACACAAAGGACCAATAGAACCACACCAACGACTCATTGCCGGACAGTTAACCCAAAGGCTCTTCAGTTACACAACACCTCTCAGCGACCATACGCGTGCCAAATGAAGGGAAAAGAACTCAAGGTCAACCCACATTCCACAATTGAGAAAGGTACAAAAAAAAACAAATCAACATGAAATTTATCAAATTTTTCATCATTTGTGAAAAATTGAGCCAACTGATCAGTTATTTACAATCCATAAATATCATTAAAAACTCAGTGAATTGCAACAATTGTCATTTACCGGCTAGATTATCAACAAACAAACTAGCATGGGTATGTCGAAAGTCGTTCTTACAATTAAACGCGAGAAACGAGCCAAAAACGATAGAGTACAAGTTTAAACAAATCACCTATTACAAGACAGTATTTGAATACAGTAAAATGAAACTAAAAACAATTTGCCAAATGATTTGCCTATACCTCATGTTAAGAGGTCCTAAAGTCGCGATAATACATGAAGAACTAAATATCTCAAAAAACATTGTAGTGAAGTGGTTAAATAAATTTAGAACTGTGATAAATATATGGTACATGAAATCAATGAAAAAACGAATTGGAGGCAAAGGGTCAATTGTCGAAATAGACGAAACAGTTTTGGGAATACGAAAATTCAGGAAAGGTGGGTGGGTCAAGAACAAATGGGTCCTAGGTAGGGTAGAGAGAGGCACCGGAAACACATTTATAATCCCCGTGCCAAACAGAAAATCATCCACTCTCATACCTCTTATTAGAACATATGTGAAACCATGGACAATAATACACACTGATTGCCTGAAGAGTTACAACAAATTACCTAAAATGAAATATACTCATCAGAGAGTAAACCATTCGAAACATTTATCAATAAAAAGACTGGAGTATACACTCAAACGATTGAAAGACTGTGGCTTGAATTAAAAAAGTATGTGCCAAAATCAGGTTTTAAAGAGTGTAACAAACAAGCTTATATCTCAGAATTTAGCTTTTTTGGAAATTCAACCATAATGAAAGAATTGGAAAGATTTTTGAACTGCTAAAAGAATTTTACAAATAACTAATTAAAAAAAAAAATAATAATAACAATTTAAAAAACAATGAATTTTTTAGATACTGTAATAATTAACAATAACTAAAAAAATGATGTGATAAGTTAATTAAATTCCCAAAAAAGATAACCATTAACCTGATAATTTAGAAAAATATTAGATCATTTACACTTTATCATTTGGAAAGAATAACCAAAAAGATATTATAAATCAAGGTTACTCTAAATAATAAGAATACGAGTAATAAATAATTTAATAATTTATAGCCTATGAATGATGGCGGAGGATTGGGGTTTTGGTAATTCTGAGGGATTTTAACATGTCGAATTCTAATTTTAATAACTACCTCACATAATAATGTGCTCAAGAACAACCTTGAAACATTAATCTAACAATTCTAACGTTACATAACGGTCATCTCTCCTTAATCCCATAGTAGGGTGGAGGGTGGGACCGGAAGTAACGTCACGTCTAAGCCGTCGGTCCTGGGTCACGCTGAGAACGTTACAGTAGTCTATAACTCATTAATTAATTAATTTTGAAAAAAAAAATTTAATATATTTCAATTTTCAAATATAATTTAATGCGAGAGACCGGTTTGTTTACTAACACCATTTGGACTGACTCCAGAATCAAAATTTTTATTAAAAGTACAACACAGATAAAGCACCCAATTATCCGGAAGGGATTTAAAAAAGCCGTTTGAGATCTGATCGGGGCCTGGAGCTTTTCCATTTTTTGTCATTTTTATGGCTCTCATAACTTCAGCAACAGTAATTTCATTGTCAAGCTCATTTACAACATGGATGGGGCAATCGATTTCAAGTAATACACGGGGGGCGGAGGGGGGGGGGTAAATATTTCTGTAGAAAATACTCCTTACATCAGGACTCAACGGATTATGGGAGAAAATATGCCGTCTGTATAGTTTGACGGCTTGCTAGAATGGTTTTCCATTACGAACATTTTCAAAATCCAACCTCATCTGTTTGAAGTACTCTCTCTTACATTCCTCAATATATGTCTTATATTCCTTCTTTAACTTACAGTAAATATCTCTACTTTCATCACAGAAATTAGTTTTGAAACATGAGTTGACGCTTCCTATATAGGCCTTAGGCAGCTCCCTACATTTTTTATTACACCACGGCTTATTAGGTCTATGGTATTTAAGATTTTGTAGACCCTGAGGTTTGGTAAAACCAAGTTCAGCATTCTTTGAGGCTTCTAGAACAGCACTAATAAAGTTCTGGTGGAGAAAGTCAACAGGAGCATTTTGGAAGTCAACGGTCAAATGTTTAGAAATGCACATATACATCCTTTATCCTATCGGCTTCATCTGGCAGCCATTTTGGTGTGAACGCATTAAAATTATTTCGGGTTTCAGAACAAGGACTGGGATCTTCAACATTCCCATATCCCCCAAGTATCAGATTAATTGGAAAGTATTCAGACCCTGTCGCCCTCGGTTCCACCAGAAAGTCATCAATGGCATCAATACCTACTGCTCTCACCCAAACAAGATCAATTGTGCTGGATTATGATTTGCGAATGTGACTTTTGCAGGTTTCTCACTTCGTGAGCGACCACTTATTAAAGTGAAACTATTTGATCTCATAAAATCTGCAACAATATTTCCTCTACTATTGGAGCCTGGATCAGCCAGAACACGTTCAGGATCTAAACTAGTTTCCTCAAAAAGTTCCTCAGGTGTAAAATTTAAAAATGATTTACCTAATCTAGCGGTCATATCCCACCTACGAAAATATAATCAGTATTATACAATAAATCCCAGTTATCAATTATTTATCTGTAGATCTTTGAAAACCGTCGGAATATTAATATTTCTTGGACGCAAGTAAATATTCTCTACCATGATAGAACCAAAATCAGTATCGACCTTCAAGAAAATCCAAAAGTTACTTACAAATATGCATTCATGAGAAAATTTCTTTTTCATTAGTGTGAGGAGTCCTCCACTCGCTCTCACTCTATCTGCTTCTCTCGTGGCCCTACTCCAGTAGTCACTGTAATCTTGAAAGTCGATCGGCAGTCTTTCAGGTTGAGTCTTTTCCAGCATGGTTTCCGAGAGGCAAATGATGTCAAATGCTGCCAAGTTTTTATGGTCAGCCAAATTCACAAATCCGGAGAGATTCCAAAAGAGCAGCTTCAGTGATGGAGCAGACGTTTTTAGTTTTTTGGGCGTGTTGAGTGGCAGGGGAAACGGCAGCTTGCACGGTACCATTTGGAGTGAAGGATTGTATGGGTTGCTGGTTACGAGAAATATCGGGAGGTGGTTTTTTCATTGGAATCAGGATATTCTTCTCCAGGTCGAGGGAGTGAAAGACATTATCGACAAAAATCTGGAGGTGCTTCAGTTTCACATCATGTTTTGGACGAAGACCCTTGGCAGTAATTCTGAGGCGTCTCATAATTTCACTTTCACGAGTTGTCAGATCTGAGTCAATGTAAATACCTTTGCCCTTTAGTTTGTCTTTTTTGGAGCGAAGAATTGACTGTTTTGAAATTTCACTGACCAGACTGACAACAATTCGAGTTTTTTTATCAGCTCTCATTGGAAGTAGCCTGGTTTCCTGAACATCGCTACCTGCATTGAGAAAACCAGTAGCGATATTTTTTACATTCTCGTAGTTACAGTCAAGGCCTGCGATAATAATATTCTTCTTTTTGGCATCCTTCTCGGGCTTATCAACTGTCTGGAGCAGTGCAGCTGGGAGGTTAGGATTGGTATTTGTTTGAGAGTTTCTCAAATCCTAAAGAGCTTGAATTGACTCCAATAATTCCTTGTCAATGCGTCCTTGTATGGAGTTAATTTTGGAGGTGAATGGGTTTTCTACGTTACTTATTTTTGACTCTATCTGGTGACAGGTAGCTTAGAAGTCATGTTTTTGAGTTTTCATCTCCGTCCTCAATGCAGCGATACTTGCCATATGGTCCTTTGAGG